TGGACGGGGCTCTGAGCAACCTGATCTAGTTGAAGATGTCCCTGCCCACGGCAGGGGGGTTGGACTAGATGACCTTTAGAGGTCCCTTCCAACCCAAACTATTCTATGATAATGGAGCTTTTAAAATACAGCATTTGTACAATGGAGAGTGCAGATTAGTATTTCACGAGTTCACAAAGACACAGGACACAATGCAGACAAAAAGACTGCAGATAAATCAAAAGCAAGGCAACTCACCTAAAAAAAAAAAAATGCCTTTGTTTCACCTTATTAGCAACAGTAGATACTTGTTTAAAACTGAATTTCCCACTTCTCTATTTTGTGGGAATTACTGAACAGGCTCCTTAAAACATGCACGTTAGGGGAAATTCATGTTCAGGACAAAGCATCTGTGGTTACAAATCACTCCAGACCAAAAAAAAAAAAAAAAATCAACCAGTCAGGACTGTGATGTCCAACAAAAGGAGTATACTGAACAACAGCTCTGTCCAAAAGAACTTATACTCTAAAAACAAGGCATGCAGGGGGACAAAAGGAGTTGGTGTGCTGGCAAGGAAATAAAAGATGGGATAACAAATGTAGCTTGTGCAGGATTTGCATGCCATCTACAGCTACCTGCCATAATTATCTCTCACTACCTACTTAGCAGATGGTGGTTTTCTGTATGCATTATAGCAAAGGTGAGATTTAAAAAAGCTTGAATGTTCAGACAGTGCTTTCACAGGTTCTGTCAGTTTTTCCTTATGTGCAAAGAGCAGATTTGGGGAAAGCATGTGGGAAAAGTTCATAAGCAGAAAGCTGAAGTTGGCACTGTCAGTGGAAAAAAAGCAGAAACAAACCTGGAACAAGCAGCCATGGCAGGACTAAACTCAAAAAAATTTTGAAGACAAAATCAATGCACGTGTATATCTGATCTATGATATACAGAGAAAGCGCCAAAGGAGGATGTTAAAGGAACAGACCGTAACATGACAGAGATGGCTCTAGCAGAGCCATTCTGAGCCATTTTAAGGGGATGGTTTCACTTCAAGAGAAGCAAAGAGGTGACACAGCCATATCACGCTGCAAGAGGGCCAGGATTAGACAATAGTTTTGCTGGTGCATAAAGTGAGAAAATGTGGAGGTAGCTAAGAGCACCAGAAGTAGAAACCTGTTTCCATTAGAATAACCTGAAAATCCTCAACTGACCTCTACAGGGCCAGGAACTCAGCCTACAGAGATATGCAGGAAGCAGCAAATTTAGACTTCATCTGGATCAAAGAAGTCGTCTAAATGAAAAAGAAGAGAACATAGATTTGAACAACAGATGAGGGTTATTACCCCCAAAAAACTAGAGGTAACCTCAAGGGAAAATTCAGTTGTAGGCGGCTTTCCACATTACAATCACAAAAGCGTGATGAGTGACCTGCATTTTTTCCTTTCAAATATGTATTTGCAAGGTGAGCGGAGGCAATTCAGAAAGGCAATTCAGCCTGCACCCTTTAGGCTTCTGTACAGCAGCAGTGGGAAAAGCAGAATAAACATCCAGCAACCACAGCCACACTCAGCACTGCTGTTCACAAATCAGAACACACACAGGGAGCTGCAAGGCCAATTAAATACAGTATTTAATCAACTACATTCAAGTAAAGCATTCTGGCCACAAGTAATAGAAGAATACTAAATAAAAGCTACTCAGGATCTTCCAAGATAAATAACTTCAGAAGTTGCAGAGAGATAGATTTTATCACCCATTCTTTTCCCGACTTACCCTCTCATGTACCACAGCCAGTAATTCATTACAAAATTTTGGCTTTTTTTGTGGATAAGCTGTAAGCTACCAGATACAGCAGCATTCAACATGACAACATTTGTGAGAATCTCTCTCTGCTATCTGTGGAGAAGACTATCGCATATGAAGAATCAGCTTGGCATTTTCCCCAAGTTCTCAGAGAGATCAAATCAGCTCTCAAACTGTTTGGTAAACAGTTTTCTCAATCAACCATAACTTCCAGTTTCAGCTCACTCCACTTTACTACTTCTCCACACACGTTTTGTCCTTTTCCAGGGTAAGTGTTTGGCTCCTCCGTTCTTTTATTTTTATGTATTTTTTTTATATAGTCATATGTATACATACATACACACACACATTTTTGCTTCCTCCCGCCGTCCCACCCTAGCTGACATGTTCCGCTCTTCTCGCTCCTTCTGTTTAACGCCACCATGTGAATGTTGCACACACAGTCTGGTTTGTCATTTACTGTCACCTTTTCACAATCAGGGAATCTATCTCCCACTATTTACAAGTAAGCCTTACAAAACCTCATTTAAAGTTGTTACCATTACAAACAGACTGGTAACAAATCCTGGTAACAACTACTTTGCAAAAAATATCCATATTTGACTTTTTTTTTTCTTTTTAAAGTCCTTCCTCCAGAAGTAGCTACAACATGACACTTCAATGACCCAAGACCTTGAAATAAGGTGTTTCCATGTGCAGGTAGAAGGATGTTTAAACATGTTATGTTTTAGCTTAATGGTAGGACATCCGCTATTTTCAGCAAATAATCCCCAAGGTGAAAAACCCCATCCCATTTCACTACACCATCCAACAATACCTTTCCCCTTATGCTCTTGTTTTGGATTTATTCCAAAATTGGCTTATTTACAGATTGAGCTGCCAGTAATGGAATAGTTTGTAAGACTGCTGTTTATGTGTTTTTTTTTCTAGTACGCAGACCAAAAATCCCAATTAAAAGCACTGTATTATTTCTACCAGCAGTTCTTAAAATTACAGATGTAAGGTAACGAAATACTTAAATATTTTGATATTTTATTACATTTAATCTATATAAATAGCTTGTACTAGTGACAAGTTACAGTGACCCAGTATACCAGCTTCCTTCTATACTTTGAAAACTTATTTTCTACGTAAGAACTAGAAAGTTACACTGAGATATCTTCTGAGCACATATTATCTATAAAGGAGGAGGAGCTTTTGTGCCTGAAAGTTTGTGCACTTTTTTTGCCAGCTGTATCAGCTGATACTCAAGACATTTATCCTTACCTACATATGCAAGCTCTGAGAAAGAACTGTTAAGCAGTTTCTCTAAGAAACTTAGCAAGAAATCAGGTTTCTTAAAAAAACAAGTCAATGGAGCACTCAATCAAAGAGTCAAATGAATGCATAAGGGGTAGGAAAAGATAGTTCTATTTAAAAAAAAATGAGTAAAGAATAGAAATTCCTTAGTTGCAGGAGTCAGGCTAGGGTAAACAGAATCTAATTCCACCCAAGAGGTACGTACATGCACAGAGGTTTTAACCCAGAATGACAGATCAAACAAGAGGTGAAAGTTTCCTCCTAAAATTTTGTTTACTTCATTTCCTCCTTTAAATATCTGTTCAACAGTTAAAAAAATGGGTTAAAATGGATTTCATGCCTCTCAGTTCTTAAAGTTAACAATGCCAGTGCTACCTGCCATCTTCCTGAATAAGCTTCTTCTCTCCCTATTTCTTCTCAAACTGATTTTCCTTCTATCCCTTCGTCCTCTTTCTTTCCTCTTTCTCGGTATCTTTTTGTTCACAGAGCAGCCTGTGCTGATGGTTAGGACACAAGCAGATGACAGCCTGTGTTCTCTTACCCAGCTCCTCCCCTAA